CCCCCCCCCCCCCCCCCCCCCCAGCCAATCGCCTCGCATGGCCAACCACTTGTTGACGACGGCACGCGTCCCCTTCTTCCTCCTCGTACTGTAGGAGTATCGCGACAAGTGCACAGCCTCGCGGCTGTTCGTGAGCTACTACGGGCTGACGGGAGCGGTAAAGGTGGGGAGCGCTGTTCTCCTAGACGATGGGTTGGTCTCGTTGAGGGTCACCCGATGTACGGCAGGAGTCTGTCACGTGCCTCGTGGAGAACAGGTGAGAGAGAGAGAGAGAGAGAGAGAGAGAGAGAGAGAGAGAGAGAGAGAGGCGGGACTGAGGGTGCCATGTTGTTGGGGGAGTGTTGGTTGTTTGCTGGCGATACAACGAGGGCACGATTTGTCGATTTAATATGTGAGTGCCAGTTGGTGGCTGTACCTACTTGAACCGTTTACATAAGTTGTTAATTGAACCGTTACATAAGTTGTTAATTGAACCGTTACATGAGTTGTACGCATGGTTGTTATGAGCACAGCACGCACCAGCTGGCGGACCAGTGGAAGCATGCGAGTCTCCGAGAGTACAACGCCCCGCAGAATCAATCGTGCGGTCACTCCGTGGAGGGGGGATGGACGAAATCCGCTTGCGTTTTTCACGCGTGTGCGCAACACTTTGTTTTGCTGTATGCTTTGCTGTGCTTTCCTGTCCAGCGCGAAGCTCAAGAGCAGAAGAGGCGTGAATCTCCCGGGGACAAAAGTGGACCTGCCGGCGCTCAGCGAAAAGGACAAAGTCGACATCACGTGAGTATGCGGTCGAGTGCTGACATATGCTATGATCTGCGTACGCACAACAGAGGGAAACAGCTCTTCGACACGCTCTCTGTTGCTCGGGTGCTGCTGCGTCAAGTATGCTATTGTTGCCACGGCGCGCCCACAATATCTTTATCTTTAGTCGGGGCCAACCTACGGTGTGGATAGATGCGGCGCTCCCATCGCTGCATCTGTTTTGAACCTTGCACGGTTGGCAGGGTAGACGTATGTGTCCGACTCGTTATATATTTTGTGCTTCGTCGTTCGTGGTTTGTGTCTGCCTCGGCTGGGTTCGGTCGGCGTGTCTCTGGACTAAGCCCTCCGTTCGCTAGATTCCAGACAAGAAGCCACGCTTGTGTCCCTCCCGCCTCGTTGTTGACCTCTGGAAGCCTCTGCCTCTTGCGCGTTTAGTAATGGCAGCGTTTTTTTTTTTTTGCGCCATGTCTCCGCTCCTGATCGGAATGTCTTACCGTACACCGCAGAGACCGCCGGATAAACCGATGATGTTTGTAGGCATGCTCTCATCTTGCCTGGTGGCACACTAATAACATCACCCTCGCCGCCGCTCGCGCGAATGTACAAACATCGTTTTCAGTTTTGGTATCCAGAACGACATCGACTTCGTGGCTGCTTCTTTTGTGAGGAAGGCCGAGGACGTGCGGTCGATCCGAAGGTTTATTGACGACGTCCACAGCCAGCATTGGCCTGAGGATCGCCCGACAGCCCGCATCATATCCAAGATAGAGAACTTGGGTAAGCACCGCTGCTCTTGTTGTTGTTGTTGTTGGTGGTGGTACTTGTTTCCGACATTGGTGATTTGAGGTGTAGGCGGTTGTCAAGTAATACAATGTGATCATGGCTGCGCATACCCGCGGAATGCTCTCCCCCACCCATGCTAGACCTATGTATCTCAGATCTTGTGACACCACGACTGAATATACGCACCTCCACCTTCCCCCTCCGCGACATACTGGTATCCGTCAAGCTTTTGAATTGGCTTTGTAAGGAACGGAGCCGGGTGATGCCCCATCCCAAGTGGGAAAGTTCCTGCCATCTATCCCTAATCCCTTCACGCCTCCCTTCAATTCGAACGCACACCCCGTTCGCGTCCCCCTCGACTTTGCTTCTGCTCCACGTCATGCATTCGATTCGGCTTAAACTCTATATATGTTCTTCAACAACAACCACTCTCTCGCTCTCTCTTTCCCCCCCCCTCCCCCCCGCTCTGTTTTGTCTGTCTGTCTGTCTATCTCAGAGGCGGTGGACAACTTCGATGAGATCCTGGAGCTGTCGGATGGGATTATGGTGGCAAGGGGCGATCTGGGTGTGGAGCTGCCTCCTGAGCAGGTCACCAATCTACAGAAGAAGATGGTCAGGTGTGTATTGTAGTGCAATCGGGAGAGGCAACAAGACAAGTTTTCGGGAGAGGCAATGCTAAGCTCTGCACGTCATGTTCGATAGGAAACCCTTCATCGATGGTTGTCAGCCTGCGGTGGGTCTACAGTCTACGGGACCCCCCCCCTCCCCACCAACCGCGAGCGGTTGGCCCACCAACTTCCTCCTGGAAAATGATGGGGGTCAGGCGTATTGCAGGAACGATGGGTGTGCGAGGCGGATGCACACAAGGGACATCCATGAGGCGTTGTTGTGCTGTTGCGTTGTAGCCCGTTTAGTCGCACGGACGTGCGCAGGTACAACAACACCTTCTTCTGTGTCACCTGCAGGCCCTCTCTTCAGCGTCCGTGCAGGAGAAGAGAACCTGTCGCTTGCCCCGTCTGCGAAACGCCTTCTGGTGTTGTCTTGTCGAAACCCACCCGCCTTGTGACCGCTGCTGTCGCTACTGGATTGTGCTCGTCGCACCGCCGCGGGTGGTGGACATGTTACGTTTTCTCGTGCCCTGTGTGCGGATTCGCAGACAGTGCAACCGAGTGGGCAAGCCGGTGATTGTGGCCACCCAGATGCTGGAGTCTATGCAGACGAACCCACGACCGACTAGGTATGATGTAGTGGGAGACATGACGGCGGTGGTGTGTGTTAAGGCATGCATTCTCACACGGAAGAGGGGGGGGGGGCGTATCCACGACAACGCTGTGGATAGCACCAACCCGCTCGTAAGAATGGCGATTGTATGATGTCAAGCTGAGATTCGGAATACGGTTGGGATAGTTTGGAGCGGCAGCATCGCGTGCTACACGTACACTCTGAGTCGCAGACGTCGCCGGCTACACATGACCGAACCTGTTTCTCGAATTCTTGTGACCCGGCCGGCACTGCGTTGTTGCTGTCGTTGTTTGGGTAGATGCCGATTTTTTGTTTCGGTGCAACAACCATGCTTGAATACCCACATGTTCCAGCCTTCATGTTTCGGCATTGTGCCTTTGCTGCGGCTGTTGCCACCGCCACGTTCGCCGCTGGCTGTGGAGACTTGCGCTTTGTCGTCCATCGAGACGCCGCTATCTTTGTTCGCCTACTGTATGCATGGAGCCTCCACCGAACAATGAGACGCGGCACCGACAAACGAGAGTCTGCACCGAGTCGACCCTCATTTCGATATTACACCCTTGTTTCGTTTCCGATTTCTGCCTGTCCCTCGTCGTCGTGTCATATGTATGTCGTTGGTGCCGTACCGTACGTACGCTGCAGGGCCGAAGTTAGTGATGTGACGAACGCGGTTTATGATGGCGCGGACGCCGTCATGCTTTCAGGCGAAAGTGCACAGGGAAAGTGAGTCGCCACCCTTTATTGTTCTGTCTGCTGCTTTCTGCGTCTGCTGCTGACTGGCTTGTTTGAAGAGCCCATCCCACCGAACCTGGCGACTACTGCAATACTCACATCCCTTTTTTCTCGCGGTTTCTCGCGGTTTCCCGTACAACCGAAGGTCATGTGACGAAACACGCAAAACTAGCGGAGCCCGTACACAACTAGTTAGACCGGCTCTCACTCCCGCTGATTGAACCAAAATCATGCGCCAGATTGTGTCTCTCCAACTCGCTGTGAAACGAGTCTGTTTTCCGAATGATTTCTGGGCATTGGGTGTGCCAATGTAAATGTATTCATGTCTGTCTGACACGGGAAGCAGCGAAACGGGTGCGAAAACAAGTGGAGGTGGTCCCGATTCTTCGTCCCGACACATGGGATGCCCCGTAGAATCGGCGGAGGTGACGCGAGAAGTCGGAGTGATAAAAGTCAAATGCCGTCATGCCGAACGTGTTGTGTATTCCCGCGGGTGCCTGTAGAGTCTCTGGACACAGTACCAAAATGGTATCCATTGTCTCACAGATGATCTTCGTTTGGCCTGCCTCCCTCTGGGTTGTTGGTTGCAAATTGACAAATGACAGGTACCCCGTGGAGTCAGTAGAGATGATGCGATGTATCATTGACGAGGCTGAGAGCTGGAAGGGTTCCAACCCGGAGCTGGTTCTCCCCGATGCGGCGGAACCTTCGGCGACCTCCGAGATGGAAGGCATCGCCTCGGCCACCGTGCACGCGGCCTGCAGCCTCAGTGAGTTTTGTCGGCCTGACATCAACAGAAGCAGCGGTGTAGTTTGAGCGAGGGTATGGGTTAGGATGGGGTTGTCAGCCTCAGCAAGCTTTTCTGTACGATTTGGACCACCAGTGCGTCATATCCGTGCTGGTCGCCCCGCTTCGTGTTGAGATGACAGGCGCCCTTACCCTTTGGCTTTGACTGATGGCAACAATGTAAAGATACAGTAAGGTCTTTTTTATTCGGTCTTTTCCGTGTATCATCACCGTAATGGAATGAGCCGTGATATCTTGCGTTCAACCCTTTCTATTCAATCACCGCGTTTTTTTTCGTTTTCTATCCTATGTAAATGTAAAGAGGCAAAGCTTATCGTGGTGGTGACCAAGAAGGGGTACATGGCCCGATTGGTGGCCAAGTTCCGCCCGAATGTTCCGGTGAGTTGATTTGAGGGTAGCATACAAATCAAAGTTTTTGCGTCGTGTGTCCGCCCGTTTTGCACCAGGTGCAGCAGCATTCGTACTGCTGTAGCCGCCGAGTCCGTCGATGCGAGTGTCACTGCTGTACGTGTTCACGTGTTTTGTTTGCGACACCACAACAACAGCTCCTCGTGTGTAAGTACATGGGTGTTGCTTCCCACCACCACTCCCACTCCGCGCTACTACCCCCCTGTATCTCGCGTCTTAATTAGTTCAAACTGGATGTGCTACCCGTTCACGGATGTATGACTGCTCCCTCCCGACTTATCGTGCTCACCGCCCCCGGACCGCCAGGTTATGTGCATTTGCCCCGATCGTAAGGTAGGGCGACAACTCATCCTGCACCGAGGGCTCCACCCTGTGGTGCTCGACGAGCCCGACTCGCCTTCCACCCAGGCAGACGCGGTGCAACTGGCGAAGGGCGCAGGGTTCTGCAAGGCGGGGGACACCGTTATCGTGGCCTACCGGGACCACGTCTCCCCGGCGAAGGACCTGGCCCTCAAGATCTTGGTGGTGAGAGAGAGACAGGAAGCATGAAGGAGCAGCTTCGGCGGCTCTTCTTTGATGATCTCGACGTGTAGAGCGCAGGCTACACGCATTGGTTTTTGTCTTTGTGTGGTAGGGGGCAACATCGAAATCGTTTTATGAAACAAGGAAGACAGGCACCTAGTCCCGACTTTTCGTGCGATCTGACGTCCGTGTATCCTTGGCCTCCTGTGCGTTGTGGAAAATGTACCAGAGATGCGGCGGAGTAGTGCATCCCGGAAGTGATGGCGTGGCCAAAACGACCAAGAAAAGCGGCTCGAGAGAATACCCCGTCCCCCCCCCAACCTCCCCCCCCGGTGTTTGCCATCGGGGTTTGGGTTTTCGTCGCTTGGCAACGACGTTGTAAAACAAGCCGCCCCCCCCGGTGTTTGCCATCGGGGTTTGGGTTTTCGTCGCTTGGCAACGACGTTGTAAAACAAGCCCCCCACTCGGTGTTTGCCATCGGGGTTGGGTTTTCGTCGCTTGGCAACGACGTTGTAAAACAAGCCAATTCACTTCGTGAACTCGGCAACCAGGTTACCGTTGTTTTTTTTTACCTCGTTTTTTTTTTTTTTTGGCGGTAACCATAATGGTGGTCGAGTAGATCATGTTGTGCGGGGTCGAGAAACCTCACTCCGCGCAACGGGGGATGATCGCACCACGTTGTGTTAAAATGGTCAAGCTTCCTCGAGGCAGTTACACAGTGCTTATAACTGTCTCTGGAAGTGAAAGCACCAGAAAATAAATTAAGTCATACGTAGCTGTCATCCGTACGCAAGGAAGTAAGCACAAGATGCCGAACACCCTTAGCAGGATGCAGCTCACCCTTCATGCGACTCGCCAAATACCTCACGGCGCTTCGCGCTTGGTGATGTGAGAGCCTGGTCCGGTGAGAACCCGGCGTGCTCCGTCCCGGCTTAGTAGGGATGCGAGGTCAATGGTCAAACGACTACGGCATGCACGACTATGAGTACACCCCCCCCCCAACCTCCGGCCCCCGCCACCGGCGATCGAGTAAACACTCATGGAACATGATTTGCCGATTTGGTGTCCATTGAGTCCCTCACCAGTCGCCTATCAGTCGCCGTCGGGCACCTCAAGTTCTCACACCCTTTTTGTCGCCTGCGTTCGTTGCGATTTCGCCATCTTCACGCGACAGGTGCGCGATTGAGCGGAGAGGACGCGCCGGTTGAAGTTGCGAAGAGATGGTGATTGCTTTCCTTGGGGCCTCACGGCGACGGGGTACTATCGCTTGGGATTGCGATACAGAGTAGGGAAAATTGGGAGCGCTGAAGAAGGGAGGGCGCTGCCAACAACGGGAGGTGCAATCGAAGCGCTTGCTTGGTGACACCTGGTCCGCCGGTAGATGATATAGCAGGACACACTTCTGTCAGCGCGCGTGTAGTGGGAGCGTGTGATCACCCGCAGAGTCATAGGAGAGTCAGATGATAGATAGGTGTGGATGCTGTCCGTTAGTTGTTGTTCGTGTCGAAGATATCACGATGTGTAATATGCAGCCTCAAGTGTTGCGTATGATATCTCTGGAGCTTTGTTTTTTTAGTGCGATGTAGCTGCTGTTGTCGCGTTGAATAAGAACACATACGTGGGTGTCATGTGTACGCGTACAAGAGGGAAATGTTTGGTGGTGTGTGCGCAGTCGTTGCCACGTTAGCTACAGTAGTGTGTGGGCAGGGGTTGGAGCGCTGGCTTTCTGGGGCGTTGCGTGTGGAGTCTAGGGGCGATCGTACATTTCGGAGCAGTCAGTCTGCGCGCCAGCGTTCTCCGTGGGATACTACAATATTGGTTTTGGTAACGGATTATTTTCTGAGCACCTGTTCTTTAGGGTCAACGCTCTCTTGTGTTTGTGTGTTTGCCCGGCATCCTTCTTTGTTCCTGAAGTGATCGCGAGTTCCATAGCGTGGGAATTGAAGGGTCGTCGGGCAACAAAACGATTTAAAGACTTATAAGTCCACTCACTGAAAAGACTCCACCACATCCCGTTCGACTGTGGGTATATCTCGAATGGGAAGTCTTTCTGTGTGTGTTTTTATTATTCCTTAACAAAACGATGTCTTCTTCTTTGTATGTAGTATGTCACCGGCGAGATCTTGATGCATGCCCTGCCTGACTCATTTTTTTCGTCAATCTCACGAGGAAGACAACGTGCTTCCATGGGGTGCAACACGGGCGTAGCGTCACGACGTACATCGCGTCTGACGTCTGACAACAACGAAAACAAAACCCCCCATGGTGCAGTACTGCTGTACATGCATACGTCCTGTATATAGTAACAACGCACCATCACACGACCACCTCCAAAATACACCATTTATTTAGATGAATGACACGGAGGAAGGCAACACCAGAAAAAAAAGATCAACACATCCATGCTCGGCGCCGTAAGTAGGGGGTGAGTTGATACGTTAGTAAGGCAGCGTAGCAGTCTACATTGTGCGATGCATACAATGACAGACTCAGCAGACTCTTGGACTGCAACTCTGCAACTCTGCTCTGACAAGGATCTGAGGGCGGGGGGGCACTCGAAGAAGACCTCCTCTGTAAGAACCCCCCCCCAAGCCATGATGCGGCCCCCCGTTTTACACTCGAAACGAACTTGAAAGTATGCATACGGCAGCTCTGTCTTACTCTCACACACCTCTGCTCTCCTTGTCCGGCACGCGTGGCTGCCAAGTCATGATACACATGAACAAGATAGAGCGGCATCCGCCATGTGGCGCAGCAGCTCTCGGCAGTCGACGCAAAGAACGGCGCATTCAAACTGGCCAACATGTCGCCGCCGACGCCTCTGCCGGCCCACACGTGTACATCGCAAGCAGCAGCAGCAGCAGCAGCAGCAGCAGCAGCAGCAGCAGCAGAAACAACCTAGCGCGCCGACGCTGTCGCCCCCGGCGCTCATCCTTCGTAACGGTGGTGGCGTTTGGCTCCGTGCTGGTCGGTGCTGCGACGGCCTCTTCTGGATCAAGGAACCCGCCACCACCTCCTCCCCCTCCTGCCTCGCTGGGAAGCCAGTACAACGGCAGGCAGCAGCAGCAGCAGCAGCAGCAGCAGCAGCAGCAGCAGCAGCAGCAAGATCGATGGGCCGGTTGGACCCCCCCCCCGCCAGGACCACCCCCGGATCCTGTTGGAGGGGGCGGTGGGGAGGAGGCGGGAGTGTCGTGGGGAGCAGCAGCACCGGGGTCTTCTCAGGGAGCAGCAACGGGTCAACAGGGTGATGGGACAGCAGTGTGCGAGGACGGCACGACAAGTCGCGAACACGGAGCGGCTGTGGGAATGATGGGGCGCACCCATCATCATCATCAGCAGCAGCGGCAGCAGCAGCAGGGTGTGGGTGCAGCGGGAGGTGAGGCAAGAGAGGTCAACCAGCAGGCGCACGAGCGCATGATGATGATGGGGCAGCAGCCAGGGCAAGGAGGACCGCTGTCGCCGCCGAGCACAACGCAGCAATACCCCCAGCAGCAAGAACATGAACGGCAGCAACAGCAGGGGCAACCTGCCGCTTGGGGGCAGAACGGTGGCCAACAACACCAGCAGACTCAGGAACAGCTTTACGACAGGGCCCGCAACAACATTGCTGGCAGCAACGGAAACAACGGGCATGCGATGCCCCCGCAGTCCCCGCCCTCCGCGTTGTTCCAACAGCGGCAGGTGGAGGCAGCGGCGGCCGGCAATGGCATGGCCGGCGGGGCGGGATCGACCGCGCGTCTTGGAGGCGGCGGCGGCGGCGGGCAGTGGGAACCTCCGTCGGCTGCTAGTGCCGGGGCTGTCACGCCCAAGGTGAGAAAGAAGGGACGAGGGCCGCGACGTGTTGCTAGTGTAGGCGGTGAAGCTGGCTGTGCCGGTTGTTGCAGCAGCTGAATGCATGATGACCGGGCGATATGAGGACTTGTAAGTGTGTACCGTATGCCGGTGTGAAGAGTCAAGGGCCTTATGCATGCGTGATGCGTGATACCAGTACTACTGTAGTCCCCGCGCAACTTCTACAGTATATACCCACTGCTGCGCAAATTCATTACCCGGTGCAAATTTTGTCACAACCACCCTAGTGGTCAGCAGCACCTCGCAATTGTAGAGCAGTACTTGGATGCGAGTTTTCGCTGTGCCCTATAGGATTGCCCCCCCCCCCCCCCCCCCCCCCCCCCC